AATGCCCTCGCGCATAAATGGGAATCCCTGTGCGTATGTATTATTTTGGTTTGAAAGAAGAAGAATATCCTTTATCTCATTTTACAACATGGTCCACACAACAGCTCATTTTGATCTTAAGTGGGCTGGACCAGTGAAACTCCTCTTTCTTTCAGTGGAAACAGTTCAGCTACACATTTAATCCCCAAGATGTCTAAATATAAGTAAAAATGTGCAATTTCAACAATACATCTCAATTTTTTTACACGATAAAGAAATGCCTGAAATTGCAGAAAGGTTTCTGGTAGCTCATTGCACAGACTGAGCTGTAATTGTAAAACAGACATTTTCTGATATTTCACAGAAAATTCTGTTCTTTTTACTGTGGACCCATTATAAAAAACAGACATTTTGATCGCTGATAGTCATTTAACTGTTTGTCCTTTACGTGATTATTTGGGTATGGTATAAATTGCCATGGGGGAGGTCTTTATCAGCAGGAAAAAACTGTAAAACTTATTAAAATGCATTTAAATGTGCAAACTTTATGCCCTCTTTCACTTTTTCTAAAGCGGTCCAGTGGTCCGAAAGGTAATGTTTGCCGGGCCAATTCTGGCCCCCGGGTCTTATGTTTCACACCCCTGTTTTAAACACACCTAACCTCAATCCACACTTTTCTGCCCAACATCTGTGCCGGCAGGTCTGGCACTAAGGAGAGGAGGAGAATATGTTTAGTGGAAGGTCTTCTTTGATCAAGTGTTGTTTTGTATAGTAGTGAAACACAAGCTGTATTAAATGTGTTACAGTAGAAGAGAGAAATAGCAGTAGTAAGAGTTAAAGCAGCATTAGTATTTTATTTTACTTTCTAGTTGTTTGCGTGTGTCTGTGTGTGTGCTTCCTCTTATTGCGTCATCACTGATCTCAAAACAGTCAGGCAGGGGAGCCTCAGGCTGTTCTCTTCAGTGCTCTGTCTGGGGAGAATCTATCTATATGTGAGTGTATAAAATGTCAGTGTGTGTACGTGTGTTTGTGTTATTGTAAACAGCTTCTCTGTGAAGAAAATAAGTTTTCACTCTCATGCATTGTCTCTTCTGTTACACAGTGCTGTTTGTTTACCTGGATCTTCTTTAAGATAAACTCCCTTTCAGGACCGCTTGCCTCCAAGAACATGTTCGGTTTATTAAGTGTCTGCTGAACGCTGCAGTGTGTGTGTGTGTGTGTGTGTGTGTGTGTGTGTGTGTGTGTGTGGTGTTGGAGAAAGTAAATACAGGTGTACTGCGATGATGCATATCTATGTATCACTGGTTATATGGAAATGACAGTTTTATCTCACTTGCTGAATCTAGACTATATTAGCCTTTCCCCCTTACTTGCTGTTGCTATTGCTGTCAAGATTTCCCCCTATAGCATGCCACGTAGGCAGGTTAAATAACTTCTCCAACAGTGGCTCACCTTCAACCCACAGTTATTTGCTAAAGGGTCACACACAGTCAGAGAAAATTTATGATTTTTTGAGCACACAAGCTGGTTGTGAGAGAAAAAAGTGTGTTGCGCGATCAGTTGCGAGTGGTTGCTGGAGATTGCTAAAAGTCACTCTGAAATAAACAGGTAGAACCCCATTGACCTACAGACTGGTCAGCGAACCCTTGCCAACAGCTGGTCACTGAGCTAGGGAAAAGTAAGTATTCCATGACCAGTTGCTGAGTGGTTTCTGAGGCTGCTGGAAATCACTAGTGTGAAATCGGTAGCAAAGAGGCCTATGGTGCTGCACCAAAAAACTTCTTGGGATTGTTTTCGTCGCTAGCTGGTTACCGTGGCTGCCCGTAGTTTGCATGGCAGATGCCAACTTGGCTGCAAACGCTTGCAAACTATTCACCAAGAGGTCGTGAAAATGTGATTGGTGCGGCGCAAACTGGAAACAGAGGCCTTCAAAGTAAAAGTTGTGCCTTGTGAATTGTGACGATTGCAGCAGTAAGGTACAACTTTTACCTTGAAATCAAAGTTTCTGGTTTGTGTTACACCTTTTCAAGTTTCAAAAAAAAATAGTGAGTGCAGACAAGTTGTGACTTTAATGCAAACTATGAATGAGCGTGACAATTACTAAAGCAATTGCAAGGAGGTTGTGCTGCAGCACCCTCTATGCAACTAATTACACCTAGCATCAACCAGCAATCTCCAGCAACCACTAGCAACAGGTCAGGGGAATACATTATTTTTCTCACTTGCCAAATGCTTGCTAATCTGTCTCAAGGCCTGTGCGACGGAGGACTTATAATTAGCTGGTTAAGGGGTATTGTCTCTATGAAAATGTCTTCATTCTATTATCTACAGACATGATATTATCCTAGAGCATACTAGAAAACTGTCATAATATCTCACCAGATGATGATCCTTTCAATAGGCAGCATTATGTAACACCAAATAAAGAAACAGCATTGTAATTGTGTTACAGTGTAGAGATAGTTTTTCCTACTGTGCTAAAAATGATATGGAAAAATGTCAGATCCTATTGTTGCTATCATATTGTATATGGGTTTGCTCAACAGAGTGGCTTACATTTCCAAGTACAAAAAGAAATAATTAAGAGAACAGCTAATATTTGGCAAGAGCATCCAGAGCACATCTTGTGTTTATGCCCCCACACCTGTCATGTCAACCTAGGTTCAATGTGGCAGAGAAAACTGGGTATGGATTTAAGCTAATCCTCTCTAAGGCATAAGGGGTGGAAGTTAAGGTAAAGGGAAGAATATGTTAACAGGGAAAAAAGGCTGCTACTTATATTAGCACTCTAAACAGAAGTCTTTATTATTGTAAGTTAGAAATAGCATGTTACAGTAGCTATTCAGATATGCCAGTGCTGTGTTATCATGCAGGTCCCACCATTACTGGAGCTTTTGGGATGATGCCTATACTGAATTTTTATTTATTCATGTTTATTCTTAACTGGGAGAATTTCAAACTTTCAAACACAATTCTCAATACTTTTTCAATACACCACAGGAAGACAAATATAAATTATTTTTAAATAAAGTTTAGAAAAATACAAATAATAACATCAACAACAACACTCCCCTAAAGCAAGTAATAGTAATAATAATAGTGACTTGCACCATACTCTTTTCCTTCTCTGATGTCTCATTGGACACAAATAATCAAGCTATCCTGGTAAACTAAGACTGTTTTAAAATGACAGACAGGCAGGACCGATAATGTTAGCTGAATGACTCCCACATTAACTTTATCCTTTCATCATTAGTCACAGCCACTCGCCACTACCGTAATAACCTAACAAGAGGCTATTGTGGCTGTCGGGGTGCTCCCAAAAGAAATGACTGACTCAAACATATCCGCATTTATGATATAACTGTTAAAAACATTAATATTCTCGAAACAGGAGCTTTACTGACCTTACAAATCATCTGTTATAACTGCTAGTGAGGGGAGGGCTATGTACCTGCCTGAATTCAATGTGAACAATATCAATACTGTTGCAAAGGAGTGTCTAATCCAATATTAATTTTTTATAATCAATTACTATCTGAGTCTTCATTTTTTTGACAACCCAAATATATATGTATGTCAGAGTCATATTGAAAAGGCAGGATTGATGAGGTAATTGTTCATGAACTTTCCAGCAATTTATTGTACGAGCTAGTCAGTAACTTACAATTAAGACGCCATCTGCTTAGCTGTGATTCATGTTCTGTTACATGTGCTGCAGACAGAGCAGCACATATAGCAGAATGTATACCCCAAGGATTTCATACAGTATCCATCCATCCATCCATTAACTTCCAATTTAGGGCTGCAGAGTCTGCAGGTCTGAAACCTATATCTGCTGTCATAGGGCAAGAGTTACAGTCTTGTGTACCTGTGATAGGCCTATGCATGCTGGGTATCTGCCTAGAAAATCATTATTTTAAATGATTTCAAAAGCACACTAGTTAAATGCAGTTTTAACACAAATTGAGTTCAGTGTGACGTTTTAATCATTTTACTCAAGTTTGCTTCATGTATCTGATGTGTGGAGGATAAATGGTGCGTTTGTCCTGGACATTTGATAAGTGAGACACCGAGGACCTGATTTTGATGAAACTCACGGGAGTCATGCTTCATGCCGTTCTGGCATTTTGAAAATTACTATGTTTGGCCCAAGGTGGGAGCAGCAATTACCTTGCAAACATTTTAATAACCCGTCATATCTCACATACTGCTGGGGGGGAATAAAATGAACCTTCAAGCACATATCCAATTCTCAATTTCTACAAATTTGTCTCCAGGGCCTGTAGTTTGTAATATATTTGATTTGCCAGTGTTTTAAGTTGGTTTATAGCATGTTTACCTCCAGGGTTTTTTTTTAAACTTCATTTACTCATCGCTGCAGGGGTCACCACCTTGTTTGTGATTAGCAAACAGACCTGAAGCCCATTTATTCCGGACATGACACAAAGGGAAAGTCTGTTGCATCTTAACAGAATTTAATAAAAAAGCATTACCCTGTAATCTGTCAACCCCAAGTGTAGTTATCGCCTAACATTTCAGCACAGTTGCACTAATTTTATACAGAAATGCTTTTAGTCTTCTGTAGAGATGTAAAAAAGCTCTTAAAGCTGCTCTGTGTAAGATGTTTATGTCAAAAGAACACCTGCCGTCGAACCTTTTATATTAATAACTCCTGCTGTACTGGAGAGCATTCTTCATATTGAAATATAAGAGAAAAATGCAAATCATTTCAAAACACCAGCAACCAAGTGCTCTAATCTAATCCTTTTAGCTTCTGTTTTGACCCCTTCATCATGTAGGTTATGATTTCAGAGTGTATATTACAGAATTTATCTTCTAAGATTTATTGGAAGGGTTTTTAAAAACCTGAAGAGACACAAAAATGTAGTATTTAACATGAAAAAGCACCCGAATAGCACATGCCATCCACCCCTTTCCTTAATGCTTTTTATTGATGCCCTTCTAAAACGTTATAAATTTCTTCTGATATTAAGTGCTTCTGTGTGTATGCTTCACAGAATATCCCAGCGCTACCTTGCGGCAAAGCCCTCTATTCTTATGAGGGCAAGGAACCAGGCGACCTCCAGTTTTCCAAAGGTGACATCATCATCCTGCGACGCAAGGTGGATGACAACTGGTACCACGGCGAGCTCAATGGTTGTCATGGTTTCTTGCCTGCTAGTTACATCCAGCTGCTGCGTCCCCTGAGCCAAACTCCACCCCAGGGCAAAGCATTGTATGACTTTGAGGTCAAAGACAAGGACCAGGATAAAGACTGTCTGGCCTTCAGCAAGGTAGCGCACACTCATAGTATACACATGCTTTTTTAATATCCGACACAGAATAACATTTCTTTAAAAAAAGGCTGCATGCTTAAATCAGTGAAAAGATCCGAAGGACTGATGTGTTCAGAATTTACAACAGCATAAATACTGTAGCAGGAGAAAACACTTATCTGTAGTGTTAAACCAGGCTGGTTCTTTGTAGGGCACTAATAATTTATTAGCTCAGACCCTGCTCTACAGATTGGTTCACAGAATGTAAACTGGAACATCTTCAAACAGAGAAACAAGTGCATGCTCTCCTCAGTGGAGTCCACAGATAACAAAATAGTCTGCTGTCTCTGATAAGATCAGTGCTGTTCATGAAATCTAATTGTTTGACTTAGAAAACAAATGCCTTTGTTACTGTTATAAAGTCATGTGATCTGTCTGAGAGGAAAACCAGAATAAGTATTAGTATTTGCGGTAATGTGTCACTTGAAGGTGCTGGTATTTAAAGCAACTGTAGTTGCAGTTTCATGTTTTACTTTGTTCTCTCTCATTTTAACAGTTTACACCACTTTTTTTTTTATTTTACAGCTGATGTTTTCATCAGTGTAAGTGATTGTGTATTGTGTTTGTTATGAGGTTTTCTACTATGGAGACAGCAGACAAGTAGCGGGGAGTTGCTGCACTGCAATCATTACCAGTCTCCTCGAGGATTTGGCTGAAGTTGAATTTTAACACTCACTCTTTTTTTTGGGGGGGAAATGAAAGTTCTGGCAACTGATACTCTCTATGCCCATCTTCAAATAATATTCTTCTGTTTTAATGCCAAGACAGCATTTACACCATGATTATACTCAAAAACTCCACTAAAATACCACTATTTATTTACTGGTGCGGTCTAATCTATTCTTTTTCATGTGGATTTGCATGGAGTAAAATCCATTGTGGGGTTTTGGTTTGTTTGATGTGAAATTAATATTAAAAGTATTTTCCAAAGCAAAGGCCAGAGATGAACAACCACCAGGAGGACACTATTGCCTTTCTATTGAAGCAGATATGTGCTTTGTGTCTGCATTGCAAAATTGGGATGGGCTATTTCAGGAATTTTGCTACATAACCTTACCTAACCTTCTCTTATATGTAAAAATGTAGATTGGATCTGAAAATGAGCCAAGACAGATGTGGTGGCTCACAAATAGCACAAGCAGCACATCAGTGAAAAACAAGTATATGTTTCTACACCTGGTCAGGTATATGTTCCTGCATCCAGTGGTGGGGTTGTTACTTTAAAAAATGGAATGTTTTACAAATTACTGGTTAGCTTTCTGAAAAGCACTGCTATACGTTACTTAATTACTCTGAAGAGACAGTGAGTCGTTACAGCATCTGTCACATTACTTTCTCATTACTCCATAAAATTATCTGAAACTCACTGTTACATAATTACCAGCTAACAATATAAACTCCAGGCTACAGTTCTACACACCAACACAAATGCTTTATGTCCCAATGAGGACAAAAAAGATTGTTCGTTAGTGTTTACATTTAAACAAAAAGCTGACAACACAAAGCAAAGAAAACCATCACAAAGAGACTGTTGAAGTTCAGGCTCTGGCTGCTGGGCTCAGCATAGCTTAGCTGTACCATCACTCTGGGTTCTTGGCTAGCTTTGTGTTAGCATGCTTTCTGTGCAGAAATTGGGTTAGCAAGGTAATGGATTTTCTGTCCTGGGCGTCGTTTGCACTTTACAAACATGCTCCTTTTCTTCAATAAAAATAATAGTATAGTGGTCCCTCGTTTTTCGCAGGAGTTACGTTTTTAAAAATAACCCGCAATAAGTGATAGGTGAAATCCACGAAGTAGTCAGCTTTAATTTTTTACAATTATTATAGATGTTTTAAGGCTGTAAAACCCCTCACTACACACTTTATACACTTTTCTCAGACAGGCATGAACCACTTTTCTCTCAAAGTTCAAATCTTCGTAGAAAAATAAGTCCAGTATTATACAGGGTGGGCCATTTATATGGATACACCTAATAAAATGGGAATGGTTGGTGATATTAAAGTCCTGTTTGTGGCACATTAGTATATGTGAGGGGGCAAACTCCTCAAGATGGGTGGTGACCATGGTGGCCATTTAGAAGTCGGCCATCTTGGATACAACTTTTGTTTTTTCAATAGGAAGAGGGCCATGTGACACATCAAACTTATTGGTAATGTCACAAGAAAAACAATGGTGTGCTTGGTTTCAACGTAACTTTATTCTTTCATGAGTTATTTACAAGTTTCTCTTTGTTCACAGCCATTGACATGTCGAAGAGGTTAACACGTGAGGAGCGGATCGAAATTGTGTTGATATCTGGTGAACGCAGTAACCGGGTCATTGCAGCAGATTTCAATGCAAGACACCCTACGAGACCACCCATCTCCCATGCTACAGTTAGCAAACTGCTTGCTAAGTTTCGTGAAACTGGTTCAGTGTTGGATTTGCCAAAATGTGGACGCAAGAAAACTGTCACTAATGAAGAAACATCAGTGGCTGTCCTAGCTTCATTCAGCAAGAGCCCACAGCGTAGCACTCGCCGCATGTCACTGGAGAGTGGCATTAGTCGAACATCCCTTCGGCGATATTAGCTACTCACAAATGGCACCCTTACAAACTCCAGCTACTGCAGCATCTCAACGAGGATGACCCAGATCGGCGCACAGAATTTGCAGAATGGGCAAAACAAAAATTGGAACAGGACCCTCAGTTCACGCAGAAGATTTTGTTCAGTGATGAGGCAAACTTTTATGTGAATGGTGAAGTTAACAAACAAAACCACCGCTATTGGTCTGACAACAAAAGTGATGGTTTGGTGTGGTATATGGGGTACAACGATAGTGGGTCCATTCTTCATCAATGGAAACCTCAAGGCCACTGGATATTTGAAATTGCTACATGATGATGTGTTTCCCTCTTTATGCACTGAAGCTGGCACGTTCCCTGAGTTTTTCCAGCAAGATGGTGCACCACCACATTATGGGTGCCAGGTCCGAGCATTCCTAGATGAACAGTTTCCTGGAAAGTGGATTGGTCTCGTGGGCCAGTTGAATGGCCCCCAAGGTCTCCCGATCTGACCCCCTTAGACTTTTATCTTTGGGGTCATCTGAAGGCAATTGTCTATGGTGTGAAGATACGAGATGTGCAGCACCTGAAACTACGGATACTGGATGCCTGTGCTGGCATTTCTCCTGCGGTGTTGCTATCAGTGTGTGAAGAGTGGGAGAAGAGGGTTGCATTGACAATCCAACACAATGGGCAGCACATTGAACACATTTTATAAGTGGTCAGAAACTTGTAAATAACTCATGAAAGAATAAAGTTACGTTGAAACCAAGCACACCATTGTTTTTCTTGTGACATTACCAATAAGTTTGATGTGTCACATGGCCCTCTTCCTATTGAAAAAACAAAAGTTGTATCCAAGATGGCCGACTTCTAAATGGCCACCATGGTCACCACCCATCTTGAGGAGTTTTCCCCCTGACATATAATATTGTGCCACAAACAGGACTTTAATATCACCAACCATTCCCATTTTATTACGGTGTATCCATATAAATGGCCCACCCTGTAGAATGAAACCAAAGATCAAACCCGGTTTTCAAGTCCAGAGCACAGGACTAGAGCAGCTGCGAGAGAATTCAACATTAATGAATCAATAGTACAGAAGTAGAGGAAGCAAGAAGAATGAGCTGAGTAAAGTTTGACTTATCTGACTGTTTTGTTTTGTTTAATGCGCCTTCTGATCCGAATAATACGGTAACTTCTACCTTCCTTTAGCATGTCCAGAAGTCCAACTATTTGTGCGATGGTCAGCATCTCCCTCGGCCTTTTGGGTGCTACTGCAGGTGCCTTGAATGGCGTAAAACGTTTCGTCAATATTGTTGTGGAGAAAACTTACTCACACTGCTAGCGATCGAAGAGTTATGTAAATTTGACAAGCTGAACGCATTCTGTACTGTACAAGAGACACAGCACGAGATTGATTGACAATGGTCTATAGCCAATTAGAACGCAACAAAATGCATTGTAAAAAAAAAAAAGAAAGCAAGCAAAATTTTCCACAAAAAAAAGAAAAAACACAAAATAGCGAGGCCACATTATAGCGAGGGACCACTGTAATGTCAATTTCCTCCACTGCTGAAAAGTTGTAGCTTGCTCCACCATTTTCCGGCACACAAACTGAAATCAGATGACTGTAGCACAAGTGCACAACAAGAAGCATGTGTTTTAGCTTTATAGCCTGTCTATCCATACAGCATGCAGATAACTGAAGAACCTTTGTCATGTAAGTAATGACATAATTAAGACTGTAATATAATTGCCAAATTTAGTACGGTAACATGGTACACTACTATTGTACTGAAAACTCTAACCTGATTACAATAACGTGTTGCTCTGTAAGACATTACTCTCAACAGTGCCTGGATCCTAACCAGCTGTATAGCATGGGCTCTTTTTTTCTCGTGGATCTGTGATTGGAGTGTCAAAATGTCTATTACATTCCACTCTCCAGTACTTCTAATGCGCTTGTGGTTGTGCGTCATCATGAGTGCAGGAAAAAAATGGTGCTTTTACAAAAGACAGGAAGTGTGAACTGGAAGTGCAAGAAAAAAAAGAATTAAATTGTACAAGCGTGGGTACATTTTCTGTGTCAGTCTTACTGATCTTAATGACCTTTATCATATAAAAGGTAAATAATCTGAGTAGCCGATGTCAAAAATATCACTCAAATTATACTTTGAATAGGATGGAAATGAGAGAAGGCACTCAGTCCTTGAGCAGTGCACGTCCAGGTCGGGCTTGGTGTAAACAGTAATTTGTATTCTCCGTAATGTTGTGTTCCTCTGAGCTTATCATTTTTTTCCCGCTGTTACACAGGCCTCATTTGTGCTAGGACTGAAGGCTCGACACCTCCACTCTGTCTTTGCACTCTAAATGTGTCTGCAGCAAGAGAACAAGATAGTTTATTAAATTACAGTGTAATGTTCAGTCTAGTGTGGGCGTCTTAAGACCTATCACGGTAATGTAAAGTGTACACACGTTGTTTCCGACACACCGCTCTCTGCATCCAGGAGAACAGATAATGCTGGGGCATCACATTATTTTGATTTTTAGGGTTAAACTAATCAACAGGTTAACAACTGAAAATCATTCAAGACCATAATTCACACAGAGACACGTGCCCCCGTGGAGTTCTGTATGCGTGTTGTCATGCAGAACCAGTGTGTGTGATATTGTTTTCTCAGTGTGAGAGGTAATTACTCAGTATGACTAATACAGAGTCATTTGCTGGCATTATCACTGCCATCCCATAATGGTCTAACCAAGACCTTTATGTGAGGAGAGGAGAAGCAGAGGGAAAAACATCATATATTTATTATATTACATGTGATATTATATCATATGCACAATGTAGAGATGGAAGTGTACACAAAGGTACATATTTACTGATAACCAGTATGTAAACTGACATCAAATTGTTGGTTTTTGTTGTTATATACACGATTGTTGATCGATCTAAAGTTGGTTTGGGTTGGGCACGCAGATGTAGAAAAAAAGGAAAAACAGATGCATCAGTATTCACCTTAACTTTGCCCTAAGGCAGTCATTTTAAATATTTCTGCAGAGTGTCATATTTAGCTCATTTTTAGCTCGCATTTTACATTTGAAATGGGAGCAGCTCAAGTAATTTGAATTCAGTAGCCTGCTTGCAGTCACTGAAAAGGGTTACAGTTTGTAGTTAATATGCAGTGGCTTGCAAGGATGCCAGTGTGTCGTGCTGGAATTGTATCAGTCCTGAGTTGCCATTCCAACATAAACATAAACAGCCTTGAAAAATGTTGATTTGCCCTTTATTAAATATATTTTCAGGGACCTCAACAAGGTAGCAAGGCATCACTTGGAATGATTTGATCATGCTTTCATAAGTAGCCCATGTTTTAAAAAAAAGTCACGTCATTATGCATAAACGCTTTATATGCAAAGGCAGAACAAATAAACTTTGTTTTTTCTGCAGCATATCAAAAGTAGTTAAATGTCTATTGTTCTGGAAGTGTGGTATACGGTGTATACTTGAGTGTGTTTGTAGCTTCACTCATTTCCTCTCTCCCCAGGATGAGGTGCTGACAGTAATCAGGCGAGTAGATGAGAACTGGGCAGAAGGCATGCTGGGAGACAAGATTGGCATCTTCCCAATTCTTTATGTGGAGGTAAAATGGCATACAAACACAAACCCACTGCAGAAGTGTCGATGATGCTGTAGCAAAACATCCACTGTCACATCTATTGTCATTGCCACATTGCTACTTTTAAGAGAAGAGGAAGAAAATGCGATCTCCTTTTATCGAACTCTTGATGAAGGCTTCAAAAGTTAGTTTTGCATGTGTCCACGGAAAGAGTGATAAAACGCTGTTTCTTGTCTACTGTGGAATGTGCCGAAAACTGACAAGTAGAAGCTTTCCATGTTAAAGAAAGAAGCTGACTGGTTCAGATTTGTTAGCAAGCGGAGGATAAATCAGTATAGTCGCCAGTAAAAAAGCTGAATATGTTCACCTTTACTAAATTATTGTTTCTTGATACCAAGTAGGTTTCAACTAAATTGCATTCCGATCCAGTTATAAATTTTACCAAAGGTACTGCTACTACTGTAGTCATTAACTCTATTCTTCTTTAGCACAGCTGCACTTTGTTCTCTGTACTTAGTGAAAGCATATCTCTTGTCGAAATTCACTGCCAGTGGTAATGAGTAATCTATTATTTATTTTCTTTGGTTTTAATAACCTCACTACCATAAGTGCAGAGACCAGGGACACGTGGAGTGTGTGCTCACTTTAAAGTTAGGATGTGAGAGGAGATGGTTACATGTTCTTGGCTGATTAATGAAGTGTTGTAAAGCCTCCAGCATTAATATTAATTAACGCTGGGATTTCACTCTGAAAGGAGGCATATTGTGTGTTCATTATTCTCCATTAATCATGATGTTTATGCATTGAGATTCCACATTATGCTTCCATATCAGGATGTTAAGGCTTGACCACTTTCAGACGGGTGACAAATTTAAGTGTCTTAGTGAGGGGCTGCGCCACCACAGCTTTGTATTGATTTGCAGTGACCCTTTCCTCTCAGGCAAGGCAGTCTGCCTTATTTTAGCTCGACCACAAGAGATTTACTGGGCCAGACAATTTAAATATTTACGTAAAAACCACCAAAGTTTAAAGAAATCCAAGTACTTTCTGAAAACATCCATTCATTTCTATTTAATATCTTTTTTTAAACAAGTTAGTAAAATTTTATTGATATAGCACCTTTCAAGATGAATAAGTGCTTTCCAACAACAATAATAAAAACCTAAAACTAAAGTGTTAGCCAAAAACAAAGCTGAAAAACAAGCAGAGTTTTTAGCTGCCTTTTAAAAGAGATCACCAAGTCCACAGATCTCAGACTCAGAGCGAGAGCGTTCCAGAGTTCGGGGGCGCCACTGTTGCATAAGCTCTGTCTCCTTTATTTCACAGTCACGTACGCTGTATAGCCAGCAGGTCCTGATCACATGACCTCAGGGACCTGCTGGGGATGTATGGATGTAAAAGTTCACTGTTGTATGGCAGTGTTTGTCCACGCAGAGCTATAAAAGTCAAGTCATTTTCACTTAAAGTGAAGTCTGAAGTTGATGGGGAGCCAGAGCAACTGATTTAGCAACAGTGTGATATGTGAGTATTTAGAAGACTTAGTCAGAAGGCTTGCAGCGGCGTTGGAACAACTTGGAGACGTTCAAAGGAAGCCTTGCTTAGACAAGTAAACAGTAATCCAGATGTGATTAAATGAAGGCATGGATGACAATCTACACAGTGTGACACAGTGGAACTTAAGTGATAAAAAGCGAGAGCGAACCAGAGAATCCAAAATGTAGACTAAGTCAAAGGTACCTCGATGTTCCTGTGTGAAGCGTACCTAGAGTTTCTGTTATGTTAGGTACAAATCAGTTGGGGGCACAAACAAGGACTTCTGTTTTCTCTCTTTCTGTATTAATAACCATTCATTCAGTGTACTAAATTCAAAGAAACTTAAAAGCATCACTCTGTTGTTTATCCGTCTTTTTCAGCATGGTATTGCATGACATGTCCGATGCCTTTGTGGGCCTTTGTGCTGTAAAATTAAAAAGGATTCAGAACTCTGGTTTGGATTAAAATAACAGTTACGAAAACCACTTTCGAGACATGATGCGTTCTTAATGATTTGCATGCCTCAGGATGCAAAATGCAATGGAAACTCCCAAATTGAAACATTTCACAACTTTGCAGGGCTTTTGAGTGCGTCAAATTGGTCGCTTTGGCAGGCCAGTTCTGGCCCACAAGCCATAAGTTTGACATCCCTGCTTTAGGACACAAACAGACCCTAACCATGCCAGCAAGAGCTCCCCTGCATAATAGCTGCCAGATCCTTTCTCTGTAGCGGCCAAGGTTTCTTTTTCCTTTAATTTGTCACTTGTCTGTATCTAAAGGAAAGCACAACACAAACACATAAATACCCTCAGAAATGCAAACATAGTTTGTAATGCTATTTAAAACTTGGCTGAAGGAATTTTCTCTCAGTAAAATGCTGAAAACACCCCAAACATTCTACCTTCTTTCATAGTGCCATGGCTGTCAAGAGTAAAATAGTTTACTTTAATCCCCTGTGCAACTGAAAAAAAAAATAACTGGATCACATTTAAGGCTTTTAAGCTGTTATGGGGAGAAAAAAGCATTGGTAGCAAGTGTGTTTGCAATTTTTTATCTCTACGACACCACAAATTTGTAAAAACGCTGATTCTCGCATGACCTGTCCAAAACAAATGATGAAGTCTTCAGAAATGACAGGAGATTCACCCACACTACAAAGAGCTTTTGTGTGTGTGATTTTCAAAACAGCGGGAGTGCCAGGAGTTCAGCTGCAATGTAGTAGCTGCATTGTCTTCTTTATAAAGTCAAAGCAGATTTTTAATGCACAGATTAGAGGCAAGTCGCTGTAGGATGGAGTCATCCTGTATGCTGCTTTTATACATTATATTGCTTTTTCTTGCTGAATAAAGCACATATTATATAAAACACTTAGTAGTACAACACAGCACATGTGTTACAATCAGGATCCATATACATGTGTATATGAAATCAGTGGTGTGTTTTTTCTCTAAACTTTAATCATACTGCTCTCTGAATCATTTTTCATTTTTTCTCTATGTCTGGGTTTGCAGTCTACTCATGCTTGTACTCTTGGCCACACAATCTCACACACACAATGTCCTTGAAATTAGCTAACAACTCTAGAAAAGGACTCTCTTAGGTGATGGTGATTAAGCCATAGGCTGAGTCGTGTTGGGATACACACACACACACACACACACACGCACCCACACGCACAGGGGTTCCTATTAGATCGAGATGCATCAATAATTTAGCCCTCTCCATCACTCTCACACAGTGGGGGTGCAGGGGCATGTTGACGACGTGCGAGCAGACGTGTGAGTGCTTGATGTGTGTGCGTGCGCACGCGCGTGTGTGTGTCATCATTTAAAAGCCAATAAGGAGGACCCAGCTGGAGCCTCTGCCGATCTGTGGCCCTGTTCAGACCAGGTATTAACATTAATTTTGAGTGATCCAATCATAAGTAGACAGCTCCAGATTTTAATGCAACAAAGATGCAATAACATCCCATCACTCAGACCTCATTGAGAGGTGGGGTGAGCCACATATGGGCAAATTGTTTTTGCAGTTGCTACATCATTGCAAGCCACTTAAAAGGACCTTCTACTCAAGTGGCGTGCCTACTGCAGGTGCAAAGCAGCAGTGCGTCTGGCAGAGTCCTGCACTTGCTTGATTACCCACAGCTTGTCATTAGCTATTTGTTTTTGCATAAGGCTGTTGGCCGCCTGCTCAAGAAAAAATTACAGCCCATTTAGATCATATTGTTGGGTTCTAACAGATATTACTGGGTTTTGTGGTAACTTTTTGTGATAACAGAAAGCAGATTTTTTTAAAAAGAAGCTTAGAGTGAATTAAAAATGGTGTCATCAAAGTGTTTAGTAAAAATGAAGCAGTTTGAGGTGGATGTGTTTAATATCTCGGGTACTTGTATTAAAGGGTCACAGCTGGTTTAGATTTGCTTGGAAATAATTGTGGGTAAGAGGTTGGTTCTTGAAGTCTGTTATACTATACAGATAGAGTGTGCATTTGCAAATGTTGACCTGTGCGTGACTCTGTTATTTGAGCTTGACAAACAGAAATAATATGCTTGTGTTTTCACATACAGAGGCGGGAAGGTTCAATCATAGGTTACTCAAGAACCGTGTGGAGATAGATTCTAATGCCAGACATGAGCTGACTTAGTATACTAAGATCCCTGTGTGTCTGCCCTACTGGATATGAAGTAAATACCACTTCCAGATCACTTGCATTGCTGGTTGATGTTGCACCAATTTGCACCAAAAGTTGTATCAACATTTTTTTTGCCAGAAAGCTTTGAGTTTTTTGTTGGGGCCCTCTGCATTAGTAGATCTCCCCTAAAGGGAAAGGGTGTTATTTTTTGACACTATTCTTTTAAACTATTCATTTAATTGCATGGAAAGCCATGCAGAGCCGGGTGCTCTAATCTTTTCATGTCAGTACATTTCACGTGTTAAGAGCCATGCCAAAATAATTAATTTTTCATTATATACGTGTTATCTGATAATGTCTGTAGGTCTTTCAGAGCTTATGCAAGAGTTTGCATCACCACGTCTCTATTTCTAATCTCAACTGTATTGAAAAGAGAATTAAAACAAGAGGACAGAAACTATCTAATTTTACTGACTGCAGGAAATGTATCGTTAAATTTGTGATTCGTTTGATTCGGTAAGTTTGGGTGGATTTATTGGATGTGCCTGGGTTTTTTGGGGGGGGTTAAATGTTTGAGAACAGTAGGGTGGATGATGTAAAGGAGTAGATATGCTTTGCATTTGAATATACTGTACCCGACATGACTTTGAGTGGATATATAATGAGTGGGCTGGTCTGTGTTGTGTAAGTTTGCAGCAGGAGCTGAAGGAGCTGATGTGGTTTCAGGTAGATGTGAGCTCAGTGTGCATAAGTTTGTGCTAAATGACAATGACTGATTTAAGTTTAATGATGGTAACGGGAGACATATTGGGACTTCCTTTGTTTTGTTCTATTTTTGTTGTGGAGAGTTTCCACTTTTATGTATCCCTGCAGCAAAAGGAAGTTGGCACATGTCTGCCACCAGTTCTCTGCGTGTGTGTCTGTGTGTGTGTGTGTGCTTGTGCTAGTACATGCAAGTGTCCTGCTGGCTTACCCTTTCGCAGTGCAGATATCAGCTCATCAGCTCGAGTCTCAGTATTACCCCTAGAGAGGAACTGACTCTCCAAAAGGCACACGTTACAGTTAGCTCAACACATAATAGATGACCTTGGAGATTTCATTCAGCCAAAAGCACCAAATGAAGAACTGCGCCTATCAAAACTTCGCTCTCTTTTCTCTGGCTCTGTCACTTTCACTCAAACACGCACAGACACACACACCGACACGCACCCTCTGTCATTTAATGCGCCATTTTCAGTGGAACAGCTGAAAATCTATGTGTGTCTGTGTATCCGTCCAGTTGTTGCATTCACAGACAGTAACTGGAATGTGTTTGTGTAAGTCACTTAGTGAAAGTGTTGGATGAATTCCTGACTGTGTGTGTGTGTGTGTGTGTGTGTCCTCTAGTCAACCTCATGAGAGCAAACTGAGTTATATCTGCAGCATCAATCCATCATGCTCATTAGCATATGATTTGGCTTTGATTAGCATATCTATTAAAATGGAAATGCAACATCACCAACACTGAACCCAGACAGGGCGGCCCTGTACACACTTTGTCTGAGTCTCTCTCTCCAACACACACATACTTATATACCACACATATCTCTCCAGGGGTTGCTCAGGGAATTTGTTGGAGGATGCCAAAGTTGATGATGTCTGTTAATGTATCAGATGCATTAGCTTATATGTCATCTCTCTGTTCAGACATTTATTGTTAGAAACTCACTGCTTCATAGATATTTCTGAGCCCAGCTGTATATTTCAAACTTATAAATATTCAGTCTGCTTTGATGACTAGAATACAAGAGTTAAAATTGAAAGGAGTTGTTCCTTTGGTCTTGTTCTGTGCCAAGTCATACCTTAATTTGGCATGAAGTGCCGATGAACTACATGTACATGTACAGTCTTTCTTTGGCATGCTTGCAGGCTGCACAGCATGTAACAATGGGCTGCCATTGGCCTGCAGGCAGCACTTTAAAGACCCTTGCTTTACACTGAAGAAAAATGTGAAGCGGAAATGTTAGACTTTCACTGAGGTAACAAAAGTGAAATACTCAGGTCATAATGCGTATATAGTATTTATGTAAAAGCTGCAGGGTTTCTGTCTGAGTGAGGCGAAGGGAGGTTGAATTGCAAGCAACAGATACTTCAGTAACAAAGAGAAGCAGCGTAAGCAGCGGAGTAAGAAGAATTAATGAGCGGCAGGTTCTTGTAATGATTGCCTGGATGACTAATTGGATTGTACAAGCAACGTGTGACAGTAAAACAACTTCACTGCCAGCTTAAACTACCTCAGAGCTCCATAATGGTCAAAAAATATAAATTGTTCCTTTCAGTAATCCCATTTGCAATCAAATATGTGCTCACGTCCACAGAAAACACAATCAGATTAGTTCATATAGGGGGTTTTCCAACGCTTGGTAAGTATTACAGATAATAACATAACATAATTCAATTTCTATGGAACACTCATTCTCATATTTTCACTACTTTTTTATGTCGATAAACACATTTTGCTCTTTCCTTGATAATATGATGCATACTGAGTACAGTAGGAAACGGCAATGATCAGGACTACACCAACTAACTTCTTGTTGCAGGTCAGTACCTGACCACAAATAATCAAGATTGATTAGATTTACAGAGGTGCTTTTACCTCCTATACTGGTGCTTTTTCCCAGCACAGCGATCCATAAATTTAGACGTCTAATACTTCTATTATATAGTGTATCGCATGTGTAACTGTTATAAATCAGGATTTAATAAGTAAAATTATTTATCAGCTGTAAGGGAACCTGGAATTTGATACTTTGCACTCGTAATTTATTGGCTTATTTTTTTCGAATTATTTTCCTTCTTTACCTCAACAAAATGATGCATCTTCTCCTCTGCCGGTAAATCACACTGTCTGTAAACAGACCACAACCTGCGCCGATAGTGTGAGCTCTTCTACCTTAAAGTAAAAAAAATAAATAAAGTAGGTGTTTCTTTCTCATCGATTTCTGGTTGAAAAAAATAAATAAATAAAATTGACACATTATTAAAATCCAGAGCTCTGACCAGATGTTAGAGTCACAGAGCCAACCTTTTTTTTTAATCACCCAGTTAATGAGGCTTTGGATTCATTCATTTTTGCCATGTCTTAAAAGGAGGTTTTACCAAAACAACAGAAAAATGGTATTTACAAAAGAGTGCAGTGTCAAGATTGCGTGTAAGAGGTGGAAACTGGGGTTATGCCACTAACCGTGTTGTATACGTATTTTTGGGAATTCCTTTTTCAAGGTGCAAATTATAGGGAGGATAATATTTAAATCAATAGTGCAAAGTAAGTGATTTACTGTGCACACAATTTCCTGCTAATTGTTCCAATATTTAACACCAAAAAGCAGCATGTCTCATTTTTTGTGCTTTATATTGAAATGAGCCGACTGCACCTGTTTAGAAAACAACACAGCTTTTGTAAATCACCCAGCTAACGACACCTATGAGCACTATTTGGAGGTGGCCCCCACACTCTGCAGGTCAGTCCCCTGTTTAGTGAATCAGGCTGATTGTGTCTTCCCCCCAAAAAAACTGTTTTTCCTGGAAATACTCTGTAAATAAACGTTTGAAACATGTACAAGACCATCTGTTGGTGAGAAGAAAAGGAGTAAACTCTGGCAAGCAAAGTGAATGCTCACCTTTCTGTGGGTTATTTGAGTATCTGTGTGTTTGAGCTACTGTCAAAGTGTTACACAGAGGGAGTCTCACCAGACCTGCTGTTGTAAGTGATGATTCTTGTGCTGCTGGTTTGAAAAGCTGCCAGCAAGAACAAGCAGCAAGAGAGCCACACAAACACACTTGAATGTACTGGAGATGTACTTGAACCACTCAGGTCTGAAATCGAACACCTGAACGTCTTCTCTCTCATAGTTCCCTCCCCCTCTCCTCTCCTCTGCTCTCCTCGCAGTTAAATGAAACAGCCAAGCAGTTGATGGAGATTGACAAACCTATACCAGCTAATGCACCGGGTCCGAGTTCTGAGCCGGCCCCGTTGGGCCCCTGCTCTTCCGGGCCCTCCCCAAGCGCGTCCCCGTCTAATGGAAACGGCTTTGGCCATCGGAGAGGCGAAGGAAAGAAGAACGCCAAGAAGCGCCATTCGTTTACCGCTCTATCCGTTAGCCAGAGGGCTGCCCAGCTCAACAACAGACACAGCATGGAGATCTCCCACCCAGTCCTCATCAGCTCCTCTGACCCCAGAGCGGCTGCACGCATCCAGGTGCATGTGAACGCTGTGATGTACACAGACCCCATAATTACAGAACGCAGCAGATCTTTTATATCAGGGAAAATCAGTTTGTTTGAGCATAAAAAAATACTTGATTAGATGTAATGTGGCCCCATTATGTACAAGTATGCTTGTTTTGTATTTAAAAAGTGTATAGTGAAAATCACTTGGATTTTTTGTGCACTTTCTAGTTAAACAGCAGTCAACAAATACGTTGCTTGGCATGTAATATATCTGCGGGGAACTAATATCAGCCAGTGTATTGCCCCTGCTGATTCCTTGGTTTCACCTCTAAGGCATTGCTTGCATTTCACAAACCAGAGTTCACTTCAGTCACTCTGTTACTCTAGATTTAATAACTTATTCCCCAATCACCTACTCGTCCAGTTCCATGTAAATAAAATCATTCCTCTTATTTACAGCATTTCACTAGAGACGCATTGCTCTTGCAAATACTGCCTCTGGTTGTATTTAGACTTGGGTTCAGTTTGTATTCTGTGAATAATACCCAGCATATATACTGTAAATCTGCATGTGGGTTGTAGGCATTTTCATTGTATATCTTTTTGCATTTCTTTAGGATGCATCTCCCCCAGGTCCCTCTCCCTCCTCGGCAGGGGTGCTGGTGCCCCCCAAAGTGGCATCCATAACCTCTGAGCTGCTGGCCCATGCCAAGGTTCAGCTCCCACTCAACATGTGAGTATGCCTCAGTCCTGTGAGCTCACCCAGCTGTGACTTTCTTTTCTCTTTTTTCCACCTGCCCATTCTGTTTATCACAGCATCAGATCCAAGCTTGATTTCACAAGCCGCCTGTTGGCAGCATTAAAAATATTTCCTTTTGTTGTGCTCTGAGATATTGGCCGTGTTCCACCACCTCTGCACATTCGCTCCTCCACTGGTCAATGATGAAATTCTCCCCAGAAAGGAAAATTGCACCTCTGTTATGCTATTTCCTCACTTGTGCGATGCTTACGTCAGTGTTTCGTAACAAGGCTCTTAACAGCATTTTACTGTACAGGTTTTTGTTATTTCATTAAGATGACCATGTCAAGAGGGATGAGAGATGCACACAAAAAAGATTTCTGTCATAAAGATTATGACATAAAAAGTGAGACTATGACTATCACACTAACATTGCATACATTGCAACATAAAAAGAGGTGTTATGCATTAGGATGTGCATGATAAAGTAATTTATTGCTGCAGTTGGAGACTTTATCTTTACACAAACACACAAAAACTACATTGAATCCTTTGGAAAATTTAGGTGGTCAGCAGTCCTGGGGAAGTGCCACTGCTAACCTAGTTTTACCACATAACTAACCTACAAACAAATTAACTAGGAAAATAAAGGTCTCTTCAAGGTGAGCATGTGATTGTTCTCTTGTGCTTCCATTGCTGCATGGACCAATTTTGAGAGTGAGACCTTGAGGGTGTGGATATTTTTGGAAAGTGAGGACACCTGCTTAGTCTGCGCGCCATACAAGGTTAGAATTAGAACTATGGTATAATAACAATGGACAGACATTAATGAAACTCAATATTCTTTCAAATTACAAAAAGATAATAGCATTATTTTTTCAGGGTGAAAAAAAGAGATTTGTAAAAGTTTGAATTTCTAAAGCTTTGGGCTCGAACAGAAAAACTGACTATTTAGTGTAAACCACAGCAAAAGTGTTTACTTTGGTATAGCTTTTAAAGTGTCAGTGTTTGGGAATTGGGACATTTAGGGGGTTTGTTTTTTTATTGTATTATTTTGTAGGATTTATTTGTATCTGCTTGTTTGTTTTATTATTACTATAAATCATTCTTCAAACAAATAACAAAGACATTGTGTTAAAAAAGAAACCCATACATTTGTGCCAAGAACAACATTACACCAGTGAAGATCTTCACTTGTATAGAAGAAGTAGAAGTTCGCGTGTGTGTATGCGCGTGTGTGCGATGGCCTGTGTGTGTGCTGTTTACTATTAACCGGTGTCCTTCCTGCAGGATGTGAGCCAAATACAGCAACATTGTCAGATTTAATAATATCACTTTCCAAGTAGTAGGTACACACTCAGACGTGCGCTCTCTCACGCACACACACAAACGCACACACAATATGCACACGTGCATCCGGAGTGAGTTCATACTACTGATGAGGTCGGACTTTTTCCTCTTGACCTGGCAACTGTTCCTGTTGCCATGGGGAGACTGAAGACAGTCCCTACATCTGTTACCATGGAAACGGGAAGGCAGCATATATAGTACTTGTTTACTTTCTGGTATTATCGTCTTCTGTTGGAGTCTGGCACCACACAACTATGAGTGCACTCCAGCACCGGTACCGGGATATCATGTATATGTAGTAGTTGTGGAACCCACAAAACTCAATATACAGTCACATTTAGGACATTTCAAAATACTACACTGATCAATAAATGTGTGTGTAAACACATAAACCAAGACACGTATGGCAAAGTGTACCATTCACCTCTACTGGTCACACTGGTCCTTCAGACAGAAAAAAAGTGTTGTCCTGTAAAAATAGGAAGTATGCAAAAAAGGTGTTACGTCTTTTGATGTTTTCTTTTTTTTAACAGTGTTTTTGTTGTCTTATAGTTCAAATTGTCATAACAGTAAATTGAAGCTATTGTAAGATCTGTCTAAATATATTCTTTCTTATTTAGTATTCAACAACTGTACAACTGCATTACAGAATTAATTCTTAGACACATTAGTGGATAAGTAAAGGTAAAACATTGACGATGCATTTGCATAATGACTGAAACTAGCACCACTGAAGGAACAATGGGCTGGGAGTTCAGTTCCTTCATAAAATGCACTATTTATAAGACTGGGGAAACCTGCAGTCAGCTGAGACTGAAGAAGTCACTTGGATGAGTGATGAAATGTTTCTCCCACTGAAAACGCTACATCCAGATGAACAGAATCAACTTTTGGAGTAAAACATTATACATGCTGTACATGTATATATTTATTTGCAGTGTTAGGGTGATAATCATAGTCTCACTTAAACCAGTAGTTGACAACTGTTCGTGTTTGCAGTCCCACTCCTTCCCTCTATTTCTAAAGGAGACAGTAATACACAGACATGAAATATACAGCAAAAACAGGGGATTTATAGTGGAAGGACCAAACAGCACTGCCTTATTAAAAGATTGAATTGCTGCTGTTCACTCGGAGTAATCCACATGCATGCTTTAAGAAGAAGATGTCCAGTGGGAGTTTATAATTAGGTGAACAGTTGTTCAAGATTTCCTTTAGAGTTAAATATTGTTATTATATGACTCGCTTTTGCAATGCAGCTTGTCACTTTTCTTTCTCAGATACCTGGCATTATATGCCTACAAACCCCAGAAGGCTGACGAGCTGGAGCTTAGAAAAGGGGAGATGTATCGGGTGACAGAGAAGTGTCAAGACGGATGGTTCAAAGGCACGTCACTGAGAACTGCTGCCTCTGGCGTCTTCCCGGGAAACTATGTCACTCCTGTGTCCAGGTGAGAGCGGAAAGTACTGCATGCATGTGGTTAAATAGTGAAAGAACCACCTCTGCATGAACACTTGGCAACTTAGTTATGCAATGACAGATGTTGTTGAGATGTGTCCATCCATCCACTTGTCTGCTGTGGTAAAACTACAGTGTTCTGAAGACAGATAACAGAGATACCCACCCCGGGTGTTCTCACCTTGTTGTTTGATGTAAGCTAAATAAACTGGGACCCCACACTGAGCATTTTTACTTCATTACCAAAGCTGAAAAGCAAAACAGTAAAGTGAAATGAAATGGTTGTCACATCAAGACTTGATACTCACCCTTGTGTCCATTTATATTTTCTCTTCCTGCTGAGTGGAAAATCCATTTGAAGTCTAGCCTTTATTAAGGCAAGGCTTTCAGCTTCTGTGACTGAAGTAAAAGGCAATAAAAGTATCTTATGCTGTGCTACATCAACTTCACTTTCATCAATTTAATAGAGCCTATAATCTTTTCTAAATCCACAGTACAAAGAGCTGCATACAAGACAACAATTACTTAACAAGCAGATTTTATGACAGCATAAAGTTTATAGTGCACTTGTGGGTTCAACATATTGGTAAAAGTGGTCATTTACCTGGTGATGGCTTGTTTTCACGAACACCCAAATGGTGCATTATGTTTGATTTTTGAATTAGTCTTAGTTATGCTGGGCCTTAAAGAAGTAATAAAGGTACAATTAAAGCACCTTAGCTTTTAGAGAATTCCACTAGCTCTTATTATGACTGCCAATCATATCAGCTGTGGTGATGAAGCTTAGAGTACAGTTAATCTCGTTCACCGAAGATGGACAAGTAAGTTCAACTGAATTTCTCCACAGTATAAGCAGAGGGCACATGAGTTAAATTTTTAATCTCTTTATGCCCTGTTAAAGCCTTTTTGCCCTCTTATTTTTTTTAATGTACCCAGCATTGCAATCAAATCAGACGCACACCCCAATTTTGTCCTCTCACAAAGGCAATGTGAATGGTAGCATCAACATAGTTGTTGTAATTTACTGTGTAATTTTTTTGCAGTCATTACTTAGTTGCAGACTGAAATGTGCAATTTGCCCGGTATTATGGCATGGCAATTGCACATGTGTTTTTCTGCACTCACTCAGGCTGCCTCTCGTCACAAAGGCACACCCAAAAAGGTAATTTTGGGGGGCTTTAGTTGGAGAAAGGTGCAATCTGTGCATATTATCTCCAACGTGGCTACAAAAACCACCAAAATGATTAGGTCGAGCCAGCACATTTACCAGAAGTATGATCTGGGAAGCCATTGCTAGGAGCGAAACTGTATATTGCTGTGAAGACAAGAAGAAACAAAGTGTAGTGCAAAAATGTCTTAATCTTGATCTAATCCATTCTTAATCAATTCAATGTTGTTACATGACGATTAAATTAAATACATCATAAAATTTAACCAGTCCGACACTACTGGCTCTGCCGTTCTAGTGTTTGGCTTCCGCAGCCTCACCGTAGATCATTGCGACTGTCGTCATTATTATAATTACCATCCTCGTCGTTACTTAGTAGTACAGCTACTTCTCGTAGCTGTCCAAAACAAATAAACCAGTAAAAATGGTGTGCTGAAATATTTTGCAACTTAATTACCCTCATTATTCCCATATGCATTAAAACGTTTTCAGTCGCTTTATATCTCATCTGTATTCCGCTCCATGATGCAGTCAAGAAAAAGGAGAGAAGAAAATGAAAGCAAGGCACAGTAACAGTAATGGAAGAAAAGAGAGCCAAAAAAATGAGAGAGAGGAAGGTAATGAGAAGCTGGAGAGCATGATGAGGCTATGCAGGATAAACAGGGAAAGCGAATGGAGGGAAGCAAAATGTGAGAGGAGAAGAAAACGGCTGAAAGGGAATAGAATGGGTTTGACAAAGGAAAAGGTGAAGAAGGGCGTGAATTATGGAAAGAAATTCAAACAGAAGATGGCTGAAAGAGAAATTGACAGAGTGAGGAGGAGGAGCAGGAGAGAGAAGAAGGAAGAGAAAGCAAAAGAAAATGATACAAAGACATGAAACGGGTGCAAAAACAGCAGGTGTCCTTCTCCAGTGGATATGAATGGCTGCTTCACATTTCGCAATTATGCAATCCCAAGAAGAGAGAAAGAGAGAAAGACAGGATGGGCGAGTAATCAAATGAGAGGCAATTTGTTATTTTTACGCAAGCATACTCTCTCCCTCTCTGCCTTCCTCCCTCCTTACACCCCCCCCCCTACCCCCCACCCCCCTTTGTCTGCAGTGCAGCTCAGAAATTTCTCAGTATGATAATGAGAAGCTGCCAAAGATATGCACACAGAAACACACTGACTTGATCAAACACATAAATGCATGTTTATTTTAGAGCTACACAGGTGGCCCATACTGGCAAATTTAAATTTCACTTTGAATATTTGCATATTTGTTGTGGAATTCATTATCCTGGTTAATGCAAACCGTGAGTATACATAACAAATGCATGTGATTAAACATAAGACTCCCAAGAAGCCTTTTGATTGTTGTGTTGCCGGATTAATTTCCGATCTTGAACTCATACTGGGGGGAAAAAAATCCTCTTTTGTATGAAATCTTCAAACTTACTCATAAGTAAGGCCAAAAACGCCTGCTAAAAGACCTGAGTTAAACCCAGCACACACTTTAAGCAGTTGAATTTAGTGTGTCGAAGAAACAGTGGATAACTTTGCAGTTTCTTTTGGCAAAAACACACACAGGGAGAGAAAGCCATAACTCTGTATGTGTCTGACGGGAAGTCGATGGGCAACCATAAGTGTGTGAATACCGCTGCGTCAATAATGTTCAGCTCACTGTTCTGCCATTCAGCACTCTGCAGACAGAAACATGAGCAGTCTGCAACGCCATATATGTTACAGCAGGACACTTTCTCGTGCTGATCCACCGGTCAGATAATAGTACCGGAATTTTTCACTTTGACAGAGGGTAATAGTACTGACAGGGAAGCTTGCAAATTTTAATTTTGGATTCAGTACTGGCTCATAATTAACATTTAACATAACTCCTGATGAGTTTATTGTCTCGGTCGCTTATTAAGTATGATATGATGTTTGTTTTTTCAGTTATATTCCCCATTGTGCTGCGGTCTCACTAGGGAAAGCAGTGGTTAGAGACTGCAGCATGACTAAATTACTGTGACTGCGTGCAATGAACTTAAAGTCTTGTTGCCTTTGAAATGGTTGCTTCAGAGAAAGGGACCAGGTCTGCAACCACTTGTAGTCAGCTGCTGTCTTTAAAGTGACTTTGATGCAATAAGATTGTGATAAAACTGCATTCACTATCAATCTGCTACCAGTCTATCAGTTTAAATCTGAATGGGATCACATTTGCATTTGAATGCAATTCATTTCTGATAATATGGCAATTAACCGTGATAAATTAGTAAAAAGGGTAAATCTGTTATCTGTTAACTAGTTGCATTTATCGTTCACCAGAAGGCCAGAATTAGTTCCCAGAGTTGCTGCAGGTTGGTAAGGACTGGGGTAGCCATTTTTAAAGACTTATCCCTCATTTTTTTTCTGTTTTTACTTTAAATATGGCTAACTTACAATGCAAACACCATGCTGTGTTAAAGAAGACTATAGCTAGAGACCATAAAAAGGATGTTAACTAAACTAATATATCATTGGGTAAATCTGTCCAATCAGATTTTCCTTTGCAATGGTTGTATGTTTAGGGCCCTTCCACACTGGCTTAACTTTTCAAACCAGAAGCTATCTCCATCTTATTTTTATACATGGAGATGGCTTCTGGTCTTGGATTGTAAAGCTACTTTCTCACGTCAGCTTGAGATGAATACACAGCTGGAGTTGACCACATTAAAGTGAGGTTTTCAAGCTCCGATTTGCTACTTAGCATTAAATGGGTATTTGAGTTACCGAGCAAATAAACAGAAGAGGACTGTCAGGGGCCAGTGGTACATCAAATTTCAAGGCAATATGTTCAACAGTTTTTACACTGAAATGAATCTTAATGTGGCACTAGAAGAAAAGTCACTGTATTGAAAGAGACTGATGTTTTCAGAGCAGTAAATGTTAATGGGTCACAAGTACAGTAGAAAGCAGTTGTAATTAAATGATTAAATAAATTTAATAAAAAGTCTATATCGCTTTCACCTTTTTTCGTTGAAGGGCTCCATTTGGAGTTGGTGCTACTCGGAGCTCGTGTTTGTCCAGCCCAGGAGGAGGAAGTGGCTGCAGTCAGGTGGCAAGTAAAATCTTAGACCCCTCGTCTCCAGGATCCCCGGGGCCCTCTTCGTCCCGTCCTGGCACCCCACTGGTAAACTCAGCCAACGCTGTTAACAGCATCAGTCCCGCCTCTTCGCCACAAACTGCTGCCGCCCAGCTGAAAAACTGCCTGCGCTCCAGCCAGCATACCAACCAAGCACGCACCTCAATGCAGCTGGGTGAGCAGAAACATTTTAAATCTATATATTTCTACTTGGTCAAAAGTTTTGCACAAGTTTTCCTCTTGTGAGAAAAAATTACTAATTGGATTTTAATGTACTAAACCCAAATATAACAATTAAAGTAGACTATCATATCTGTTTTCTTGTGCTTTTGTTAGCTTGTCATAATGACAAGAGCTGTTCTATTCTATTCTATTCTATTCTATTCTATTCTATTCTAAACCACCTTTCTTCATTATGGAACAATTTATAAGCCAGAAAAAGGTCTATATACAGCAGAGAAGAGAGCATAACAGTGTCGTTCCCCTTGATTTCGTAAAAGCAGCTGTACTGAGCCTAGCCTGCCAGGCCAGGTTAAGGCTACTGCATCCAGGTGGGATGTTGTGACACAGAGAAAAAGTCTTTTTTTTTTCAGTTACCTAGAGTATCACATAGATGTATTGCTTTAATCACATGTATATTTTTCTTTAATGCAGGGTAAAAGCAAAGGAGATCCTGAAAAATATCATGCATGGGTTTTTGTAATATGCTTTAAAAACTTTACTTTGCAGCATTACAGATTTCAGGCTAATAGGACTGTTAGTTTCAAGTTCAGAGTTAGCAAAACGCAAAGGTCTGACTAACAAACTGACACAGGCAGTATGTTCTATGATTGGTAAAAGATTTTACTTTGATGATAAATCAGTTATTCCAAAATTGACGTATACTTCTGAGAAACAAAGAATAAGGTTTTCCGCAGGAGAAGGGGAAACATTAAGGCCTCTTTAAATGACAGATGACTGAATCTTTCCTGCAAAGAAATATTCAGTAAAAAGAAATCATACGGGGATGTGCAGTATTTTTACAGTTTTAATGTGCTTCAGTAAAACTGCTCAGCAGCCTCCAGCCTTAAAGGAGCCAAGTCCAGATTATTTGGGGTGCTATAGCATTGTTTCCCCATAGTCTTTGATTACAGAATAATGGAATATTGAACAGTCATTAATTCAAGTAGCTACCATATGCAGTTTTACAAGTAACCTCTTTAATCTTCAGCTTCTTCCATGTTGTTAGTCATGTGCTGATTGTTTTTGGCAGCAGCTAAATAAAAGCAAACAAGAAAAATGTGCCTAAATAAATGAAACCCAGTTAGTATTGTTCACATAGACAAAATATCCAAAGGTATGTGCACACTTGGCTTTTAAAGTATATTGTGCTGGCAAGCAGTTGTGCACTAATGATGAACAAAGTGCACATATCCACCCAGGTTTTCCCAAACCAGACAGAGAAAAACCCTGATTTAACAGCTGGTGAATTTTTTATTAGTCAACATGATAACCAAGGTTTCTTTTTATAACCCTGCTTCGCTTTAATACATTCATAAAATACCCTCATCATCTTTATTAGGTATGCCTTGCGAGTATTAGGTTGGTTCCCCCTTTGCCTTTAGAACGAACTCGATTCTTCGTGGCATAGCTTCAACGAGATTTTGGTCCACATTGACATGAAAGCATCACACACTTGCTGCAGATTTGTCGACTGGACAGACTTGGTGTGAATCTCCTGTTTCACCCTGTCTCAAAGTGCTGTATTGGAATGACAAATTGTGTCTGGAGATGCCATTTGAGTACAGTTAACCCGTTGTCATGTTCAAGAAATCTGTTTGAAATTATGTAAGCTCTGTGACGCGGCACATTATCCCGCTGAAAGCAGCCAATCAGAAGGAAGGACATGTCATCCTAGTAGTCTGTGGGGTTTGAATGATGCCCCTCTCTGGTCTTTTGCTTGAAAGTATTCTGTTTCAAGGTTTGCCATGTTGTGCCTTCTGAGATGCTCTTCTGTATACCTTGGTTGAAACCTGTAGTTTGTTGAGTTACTGTTGCTATCCTGTCGTCTTGAAGCCATCTGGTCTTGCTCGTCTGATCTCTGGCACCTGCAAAACCACCCCTCACTGGATAGTTTCTCTCAGGGAGTTTGGTTGAGAGTCTCTTAAATCACCTTTCTTCCCCATTTGGATGTTCAGTTTGAACTTCATCAGGTTGTTTTTGCCACGTCTACAAGCCTAAATGCACTGAGTTGCCTGCACGTGATTGCCAGATTAGATAAAAAGCAGCTGAATAGGTATACCTAATAAAATGGCCCAGAGGGTATGCTGTGGGGTAAATATAATGCATTAGATACTAACCCCGTGTTTGCCTACTGGTGGTGGTCAGAGGGCCCGGTGGCGCCTGTGTTCGGCAGCCTCGCCTCTGTCAGTGCGCCCCAGGGCAGCTGTGGCTACAATGTAGCTTGCTATCGCCAGTGTGTGAATGTGTGTGTGAATGGGTGAATGACTGAATGTAGTGTAAAGCGCTTTGGGGTCCTATGGACTAGAAAAGCGCTATACAAATGCAGGCCATTTACCATTTCCAACAATCGTATTGTCTGTATCTGCAGCATGTTGATTGCAACCGGTTGCAGTCCTCAGTAAAGCAGCAAAACCTAAATATAGACACTAAAACATTTTTGTTAAATTTAGAAAAAACTTGTGATCGTGGGACATTATTTAATGTGTATCATACACATACACTCAATCATTGCATTTTACCCCATAAACCTTAAGGGAACAACACTAAAGATGGGAGTTTATGTTCAGAGAGGCTGTACAAGAACACATTGTACCTCAGCTGGATAATTTAGCACAATGTCAGTGTTACTACATGCACTCACACATAAAGACACTGGACTTCTGCACACAACACAGACATTTCTAAGCACTCTGATCATGCAGTGTTACTGCTTTTGCCAGAAGCACCCTTACACACAGTTCCCAGAAACACACACACACACACACACACAGCAGTGTCCATACGACACATCAGCCTTGTTCTCTCTTTGAATCTTTGCTTTCTCCCTTTGAGAAAATAATGGTGAGTGTTTCATTTGGGAAGCTAAAGAGTACACACTGTGAGGAGACAGCCAAGAATAACACACATACACACACGAGCACTCCCACGTACATACGTACACACAAGTGAACACACAGACTCACAAAACACACAGCTGAATGACATCACTGTGCTTTTTGTTTTATGGAGGCGTAATGACAGAGCTTCTCCTTTCGCTCTGTTTTTCTCTCCCTCTCTTGCGCTCCCTCTCGCATATATGCGCACACAAACGCACGCACGCACACGAACATGCACACACACGCATCTGTTCTCAATTACAAAAGAAAGTATGCGCATAGCTCTGGCATTTTGTGTTTTTTCACATGACCGGTACACCTCTCTGTGGATTTCTGCCTCTGTTCTGCAGTGTAGAAGAGCAGGTGGCTAGCAACCATATGTGTCCATTTGTGCGTGCACATGCATACACAAACACACTCACGTGCTTGCCTGAATGTTGTCGTGGAATTGTATATTTGTGCACTTTTATTCTCACGAGAAACAAACTCAGCCCTAATAGTGTTAAATTGCATTTCCTACATTATAAATTGAATTAATACAATTATAAATGCATGAAGTAATGCATTATAATGACTATTATCTTAGCTGTTGGACAAGTTGGTTTCTAAACAGACGTTATAAACTTGCAGGTTTGGAAGACTTCTCATGTAGGAACTAAAGTGGTTACAACTTCTTTGCATATTTGCACCAACATGGGTGTTGACAATCGGCTGACTGTACTGTGTCTATGTTTTCTATCCTGTGCAAATTGCACCAGAGCCTTGGACACAATAGTGTATCAAGTAATTTAGTGTTAGCCAGTATATGAGGAGTATCAGGAGACAGAGGGGTGAGGTAGCACGGGTACATCTTAAACAAGCTAAGATGACTTTGAAAGTAATAATGATGCTAACTGCTTACAGATACAGGCAGACCTATTATTTCCGAGACACAATTTTAAAACCAGCCCTCTCCTGCAATATTAAGTGATTATTCAGTGAGACTCAATGTCAAACCACTGATTTGTTCCCTCCAGGGCCTAATACCGAGTGACGGCTGCAGTCAGTGAAGGCCGCTCATTTATACTAATCCACACTGCATCTTTGTGTCTTCCAGTCCACAGTCCCTCTGCTGCAAGCCCGGAACGCCCCACGGTGGCCATATCTCCCCTTCGTTCTCAGAGCTCCTCCCCGTCGCGCTGCCCTGGCCAATCGGGTCGTCCTCTCTCCATGGTGTCTCCGGGACCCAGCTTAGGGCCCTCGCCCCTCTCTTCCCCGGCTTCGCGCCCCATCCTCCCCCTCTCCTCCCCTCTCTCCTGCCTCACGCCTCCGAACGTGTCCGCGGTGCTCCTCAACGGAGAGTCAGCCAGTCCACTGCAACCGCCATCGCCGGGCCCCTCACACACCACAGCCCAAGGCGTCCTCGCGCCCAAAGCAGAGAAGGTGAGGCTCATTCTCGCTGATAATTCTGAAGACACTTTGCAGCAGAGAGCAAATATTATTAGCTTGCTTCAATATTTGTCTTTTTGTACAAACATTTGCCATCAGATTTTGAAAAAAAATTATTGGATTTTGTGAAATTACAGCCACAAGGACTTTTCCTCTAATGGAATAATTGGATGTCTTACATTACAATATGGCTTTCATTATTTTCTTCACATATATAATCACAAAACTGAACTGTTTTGTGGGAATTAGGTTCTATGAGAAATGAAAGTCACACCTCTTAATCATAAAATAACTATAAATGACTGTATTTATATCAGGGCAAGAATATTTCAGATCTATGGACATGAACACAGAAAAATATACCAGAATTACCAAAATTATTAATGAAAATGTTCACAGACTCGTTTTTCACGGCTGGAAATTCAACATGGCAAAACTCATCTGTCAGTTTGCGTATTTTGCCTGCACCTAAATTCCCTCATTTCAGACCGCCCAGCTCTTCTCATTTACACGGATAGTAACTGAGGGAACAAGTAATTGGTGCCACTTCTACTTTTATGTCTCCAGACATTATACTCCTCCTATTAATACTCATCACATATAGTTTAATTAATGTTCACACCACGCGAGGAGAAAATGTGTTTTGTCTTTCACCTTTCACAGCTAAGTAGGTGTGAAATCTGTGCTGTGTATGTCCTCTTCCTCCGTAAGTGTCATTCACCCAGGCAGCTGGCACAAACGCTGAGTGCCATCCTATATGTTATAAGAACCGCAGCGTTAAAGCTGTGGATGTTAAGTCGGGCTGCTTTGACAGTGAATGATGGCACCGAAAGCTCACATCTGTCTCAGCTCCATTTGCTTCACTGTTGGCTTCACTGTCTGGGACAGCTAATCTAACTACGTGGCTAGCTGACAAACAGCTCATTGACTATGGAACAGCAGGCAGAGGCCTTGTTGACACTGTCACACTCATAGATGAAATGCCTCTCATTTTTTGTTAGGAGTTTGTGTTCCACATACTAATAAATATATTACAACTACGTGTAATTCATTTAAAATGGCTATTTATGACATCCTTTATTTCATTATGATTTTAAAGAATGCTGCCTTTTATCACTAAAATTATACACACTATGGTCTTCTCTTAACAACTTAACCAATTTACAGTTTTCTTAGGGGGCCTGGAGCCTATCCCAGCTGATATAGGGCCAGAGGCGCAGTAGAACCTAGACAGATAGCTAAAATGACAACTACACTTTCACACCCACGTCTACGGTCAGTTTCAAATCACCATTTGCCAAACAAGCACAGTTCCCTGTGCACACACAGGTACATGTACAGACCCAAGCTCACCGCTGCACCACCCTCCTAAAATCATATATTTGGAGGGTTTAAAGAGATTTTTCTCAGCTTTTAACTGATCACCTGGCTTAAACATCCTTTCTGAGCTGTCTCTGATCCCAAAAGAGCCTCTCAGTATGGATTTTTCTGTAGTTGTAACATCCATTTATCATCTAAATGCTGATTAAAATTTCAGAGGAAAGCCAGATAATTCTTCTTCTTTTTTTCCGAAGACAAACGGGCTTGTTACAACCTAATTAATATTGGTTAAAAAACTGGGTATTGACATCTTTTGTCCCATTATATGACACTATCCTTTTGTACTTGGCTCGTTCGCGGTTGCATTGGCACAGCTGAAACATCAGGTATGAAATCAGCGTGGCGGTGAGGCTGCACAGACTTTGTTACAGAGGAAATGATGAAGCAGCTATGATAACTCTCTGCCAGACGCAGTTTAGGGTAATCTCTGTTCGACACACTGTCTAGAGTGCAAGCCAGCATTACAGACGCATATCACGCCGGACACTGAAATGCATTTGTACACCACTTCCAAGAGGCCTGCCCTCACAGGCCAACCGCCAAGAAAAAGGCTGTCAGAAGTGATTGCATGAAGTCTGAAAATGCCTTGAAACACTTTGGAGATTGATTGTAAATAAGTCTCACATTTAGCTGTATAGTGGTGTCATTAAATCATGTTGGAACCTTGATCCTTATACCCAGAGGCTCTTTTGTCCTTAAAGCGACAGCTATGACTAGGGAAAACAAGGATATCAAACTAAATAAGATATATGAATATGAAGGAGATGTTCATTCTTAAAATTTCCTGATTAATCTTTCTCAATTTTTCTTCTTTTTTTAAACCTAAGCAGAGTGTTGAGCGTGGGTGAATAAAATGGCAGAGTAATTAGCTCTGTGGGTGGACAGAAAGTGGCATCCAGTGCATTACTCCTATCAACCCCGATCTCCATGGTGCCTACTTTTAGAAGTGAAGTTAAAAACACTGCGACTTTATCACAGCTTTCTCACATTTAAATTGTAAGACAAGTTCACTCACACACGAGCATCAACGGTATTTATTTACATACTGTGCAAATCGCAGACTGGACGGCAGAGTCACAAGCGATTAAATGCGAGTAGCTGCTGCCCCCTCATGGTTCATTTTGGAAGAACACCAGGGGCTCGACACACTCGTGCAAACAGACGCACACACAGATGAGCGCACACACTCGCAGGAGGCAGATTAAGCCTTTAAGCCAGCAGATGAAAGAAGAGAGGGAGTGATTATTCACTTTTTGTGCCATTTCACTCCCGCCTCCCTCCCTCTATCTCTATGCCTGAACCTCTCTGTTCTCTCTATCCTGCCCCCTGTATTTCTTTCCCACCCACTGTTGACCTTCTTCTTTTTCTCCCTCTTCTCTACCTCTTTCCCATTCTGACTTCTTTTCCTTTTTTCCTCCATCCTTCCATTCTTCTTCTATCTCTTTAATCTTTATTTTTTCCCCCCTCGCTCTCCCAAATTAGATTCCAGACAATCTGCATTTGCATGAAAAGGAAGAAAGCCTGTGTTGCCAAAGCCGTGCAACATCTTATGCGTGTTATACCATGCCAGAGTACACTCGAGACAGCTGTATGTTATCCAGACAGTGAGCACTTTTATTTTTAAAGAAGGCTGGGAAATAAAGAAAGGTGAGCAGTATTTTTTTAGGCATCTAACAAGAAAAAAACATATGTCTTTATTTAGAGGAATGCACATCCCTAAAGCGCTGCTTCTCTGAGTGTAGGAGCAGGTTATGCGGTTCATTTTCTGTAGTGGGTCTGCTGAGTCAAAGTGTTTTACAGCCTCCCCTAATGCTTTCCCAAGCACTTTTTTCTAACCATCCCACCTCCATAATAAGTTTGGTCATTAGGACTGAATTATTATTGGTCTCCTTTTTTGTTTTGCTTGATTTTATCAGTTATTTTAATACAGTTATCATCAAAACACTCAATCATCACTAATGGAATTTGGTTGTCCAAGATGTAATAATTGAATTTATCTGAGGGCTGCAACTCGGGATTATTTGCAATTTTGACCACAGCAAATGTTCCTGGTGTGGGCCTCCTGGTCGATGGGGCCGTTCTTGTGTGGAGTTTGCGTGTTCTCATTGGGCCTGCGTTATTCCCACAAGGCCTCTGCAGATGCATGTTACTTTAACTGGTGATTCTAAGTTGGCCATAAATGTGGATGTTAGAGGTGGTCTGAAAACACGTCTAGGGTATACACCACCTTTTTTTTGAGCCTTTTTTTGCTAATGATAGCCCCCTTTGACCCTAGGTTGAATAAGCTGTTGTGTAGATGAATACTCTGCTGGTTGTTTTCAGAGTTAATGGATTCAATTTCAGAAACTCCAGTTAGACAGCAGTTTTAAAGGTTAGCATGTTCGACCCTGTTTAGATTTAAGTTTAAACAATGACATGCTCTACACATTTGCTTTCACGAAAGGAACAGAGTTTAATTTACAGACTGTCACAGGAAGCCATTTACACCTGAACAAATGACCTTTTTAAACTGTCCAAATTAAGTTATTGACCAGCCAAAGTAGGTGTATTTCATGCAGGAAACAAATAAGCCAAGCTGAACAAAGTTTTGACATAAGTGCCTTTTTAACTAGTATTTTTGCTTGTTCGTTTCTTCGCTTGAGCACACATTTCAATGCAGTTTTGTGCTCATTAGTTATAATTAGTAAGAAGAAGTAATCCTCCCGAAAGTGTTGTGTTCTGGCTATTTCTCTGTGACAGATCATTACTCTTATCACCCTCCATATTTAATGACGGCTTCTAGTTTTCACAACTTCATGCAGAACAGGCAGGTTTTCCGTCAAGCCTGGTTCAGTAGACGATAGTATTGTAAAGCCATCTGCAAAGGCTTGCAAATTTACTGTGACAGCTGGGCAGAACTATCACAAGGGCCAGTGAGCAGAATTCAGATATATAGACAGCAATATCTTAAATTTCAATTACATGGAAGAAGTGTAGTCTCCCTAAGGAAACATGATTAGTTTGGTTTCTCTGTTTTTGTTTGTCTGCTTGTTAGCAGGATTTGCTCTGGATCTCAAACTGTTTTAGCAATTTTTGGGATGACTCTTTTTTTAACATTTGTTCATTATTCTGCATTGAAAGATGGTAGAGTTGGACATATGTTCACAGATCGTCTTCTTCTTATCCAAGGACTCAGTTCATGTCCTTTGTCAAGTAAATTTTTAGTTTTACTTATTCCAGTCTGGAATTGCGCTTGTTTCTGATGCCATTACAGCTTATTGTTAATATCGTTATTATTATGTCAAGGTTCAGTTCAATTTCAGTAACAGGCTACACAATAGCTAATCAGCTGTATACTATAGCATGCTCAATAGCTTATGTAGAGTCCAGAGAAATCATTTGAGTTGGAATAAAAGTGATGAAAAATAACTCGAAACCTCATGAATAACTTTTTGAAAAAGGGACTTTTTTCTTAGAATTGAATTTCAATGTCGCTTTTTTTTGTAGTTTCAGTCTAAGGACAAAGAACACGTCTTTGTGTGATTCACTGTCAAAAGTGAGAGTACTGAAAGCAATAAACAGAGTCAAGAAAGGAGGTCAAAAGCTAAACCTTTGTCTGGTGTTTCATAATTTTAAACAGTTAAAAGGTATTACGCATATAATTAGAAGAATGTAGCACGATACTAGAGAGAAGTGGCACCTTATACATTTTGTATGTGTAAGTTAGAGTTTTCATATACCGGTTTGTAGAAGATATTAAACCTTTTAAAATTAGCTTGAATTCTCATTTTTGAATTCAGTGTTAGAAAAAAAAAGGTGTAAGTATAGCCCAAGCAAGTAAATGCCAGATTAATACATACATACATACATATGTATATATATATATATAGATAGATAGATAGATAGATAGATAGATAGATAGATAGATAGATAGATAGATAGATAGATAGATAGATAGATAGATAGATAGATAGATAGATA